TTTGGTTTAATTCTACAGACTTGTAGAATTAAAATAAAAAAATGTTCACCGAATCTGCTTTTATGGTTGTCGAGATATCTTCAAAGTCTATTTTATTAGATGTTATAATTCTTTACCAAATTTGAACGAAGATATCTCGGCAACTACATAAGTAAATTCGATAAACTTTTTTTTATTTTAATTCTATAAGCTCATAAAATTAAAATAAAAAAGTTTATCGAATTTTCTTTGATGGTTGTCAAGATACCTTCGTTCAAAGTTTCAAAGAAACTTTAATTTTTAATGTCGATCATTTGCTGTGCCGATAACAGAAATAAGTCACGTGCATGCTGTGTCATTATAATTCTCAAATAAGGGGGTCGTCTAAAGCCATGTCCAATCACGTAATATAGAGCCAATAAAATTGTTTATTTTGATCGACACAGATCAGCCTGAAGAAAAAAAAAACAGACAAAAAAAGTAAAAAACACAAAAAACAAAAGAAACAAGTGTCTAAACCTATCTCGAAGCATTAATAAAAAATGTTGGAAGGGCAATTTTACTATAAAAAAAAATACTCTATCCCTAACCCAAACTAACACTTACTCTAACTTAAACTAATAGTCAAAAACATATTAACAGCTTTAAATGTCTCCAAATAAGTAGCTATGCAACGCAGTTGCATGAAACCAGGAATGGGAAGTAGAAATTAGAATATTATATATCACAAAGAGAATTTTTTAAGGTTATTAGTAAGTATTTATCTATTTAAGTAAATTTACAATGCTTAATATTTATATAGGTTATTTTAAATTACCATTTATTCTCCAATTTAATAAATTTATTTATTATTTTGTACATTGTCATTTTAATCGCATAATACTGTATTGGTATATTGATTGTTGAATTTGACGGTTTACCATGTAGTATCCTATAACTTTCATATTCTAAATCAAGTAAATAAAATAAGAATAAAGCACATTTGCTAATTTCCCCAAGGTATGACTAGCATAATTATTCTTACCAATTTATCTGTCACCTAATGATTAAAATGAGATATATCCATTAGGGTTTGGGTTAGGGTTAGTAGGCAATATTATACTAAAATTTTGCAATGAATTTCTTTTTTTAGTGCATAAAAGATGCTTTCTTAGATAAAATTTGCGATAAGTATGATTTTTAAAAAAAAGCAATTGTTGTTTTGATTGTCATATTACACCTGATTTTGTATTATGATTTGGCAATACCAATTAGTAAATGTGAATAAAGCCTGGCAAAAATTAGGTTTATTAAAAATACTAACATAAAAAGGTAATCAAAAGATATATACTTGAATATTTAACAGAACATAATTGGCAAATTTTATAATAACTAGCAGCATATATTAAAATTACATAATTACAAATAATAGCTATTTAGATTATTGTAAAGAGTAATACTGCATAAGTGTATGCACGTACACTGGAACAAAATTCAAGCCACTAAAGTTAGTAAATCAAAAACATACTAAACCAGAATAATGGGCATTGCTATGGGAACAGACAGGGTTTTAAGAAGTAATATAATTTGTAATGATTTTCTGCAAAAAATAGCAACACCAGTGTGTAGGGTCGATTTTACTGTCATGTAATAGTTGGTAGACAAATATCATCAAATCTAAAAAAACTTTGTTTATATCTGGTTTAGAATATAAAGGAATTAAAAAAAGCAGTTATATAGTAAAATTGCACAATAAATTTTTTTTGTTAAAGCTTCAAAGATAGTTTACTAGACTAAATTTTGAGATAAATGCATTTTTTTGTAAAGCAAATGTTTGTTTTGATTTTTTTACATTATACCTGATCCTGAATTTTAATTGGTTGATTGACGTCGAAAAATCAATGATAGTAAAATCAATCCTACGCCTTGGTGTAGTCGCAAAAAATAATTGTCATGGTCAACTTTGGTGCCCCAGGTATTCATAGCACAAGAGTTAGGGATCATGATTGGGATTTTATGAATGGTGTAATTTGGAGTTGCACAGAATTAATTAAAAATTAAATTAGTGATTGCATGAACAATGTAATAATAATTAGCAATTATATAAGATAGCTGCGCAGCACACAGTGCTATACAAGAGTTAGGGATCATGATCAGGATTTTATGAATGGTGTGATTTGGGGTTGCACAGAATTAATTAAAAATTATTGCATGAACAATGTAATAATAATTAGCAATTATATAAGATAGCTGCATAGCACGCAGTGCCACGCAAGAGTTAGGGATCATGATCGGGATTTTATAAATGGTGTGATTTGGGGTTGCACAGAATTAATTAAAAATTAAATTAGTGATTGCATGAACAATGTAGTAATAATTAGCAATTATATAAGATAGCTGCACAGCACGCAGTGCCATGCAAGACCAGCACAATCAGCGCATCATCAGATTTCAGAATATTTTGTTCAATTAACTTATTAAGATATATGATATTGAAAATTTATTAGTTTATACATAGTGTATAAACACGGACTACATAGCAAAGTAAACATAGTGTGTAAACATGGATTGACATAATAAAAAAACTACATAGCGAAGTAAACATAGTGTGCAAACATGGATCGACGTAATAAAAAAGTCTAAAATTAATAATTATGATGTAATTTAATCTGAAAATAAATATCTGATAAAACCAAAACATCAATTCAATTACTTTGTGTTCATTAAATAAATTCAATATGAATGAATCTAACTATTATTTTCATGATGGACAATATTTTTTTGCTTCAACTTCATCTCAAGTTTCGGTGATTACTATTGAATTTAACTTTTGTTCACGCCTTGTTTATCACCTAATCAAATAAGTTTAATAGCCTTATGAAATGATTTTGTTGTTAAATACTATAACTGAACTCGATGATGAAAGTATTATCTATGATGATCAAAACATTTCTACTTCAATTTTATCCCAAGTTCCTGTAATTCTTTTTGAATTTAATTATGTTCATGCCTTGTTTAAAATATATTACCTAATCAAGAACTTTTAATAGCTACATGAAACGATTTCAACATTAAATACTGAAAATGAACTCGATGATAAAAGTCTTACTTATGATGATCAAAATGGTTCTACTTCGAATTCGTCACAAGTTCCTGTAATTATCAGCCTTTTCATTCTATTCTATTGGTGTTTCTATTAGAGCTTGGAACCAAGTTTATTTTTCATATGTAAAGCCGATATTAATCGGCTTTAATATATGAAAAATAAACCTGGTTTCAAGCTTTAGCTCTTATCTATATATATACGTCTAACTAAAAATCTGATATACTGTTTTAATAGCCTTATGAAGTGACAACTGATAGCAGCAAATTTGATAATGAATCATATGAATCGGATGATTCATCTGATTCTCTAAAATTGATCACAGGACATACCTTTTCTAACTGGAAAAAATTTAGAAGTTGGTTGAACAGATTCGCGTTAGAGATTGGCTTTAGTTATAAAATCAGAGCAAGTAAAAAAAAAGATGGTATAATGAGAAGGGTTACTTATAAGTGTACCAAATCTGGTTCACATGTTTCGCAAACTACATCAGACCCAACAAAGAGGCGTAATACTACCTCTCAATGGACAGAGTGTCCCTGGAGACTCAATGTCACTTGTCCAAAGACAGGTAGCAATGTTGTAAAAATCAATACAGTTGTTAGTAGTCACAATCACCTTCTTACCCCAATGATATGTGAAATAGCCCCATGGTTTCGAAGATTGACAAATGAAATGTTAGATGACATAGAGAAGTATGTCATTCAAGGACGAATGGACTCAGGGTTTATTTATTCATTATTAAGACATGACTATCCAGATCACCCAATTTATAAGCGAGATTTGTATAATGCTGTTTATCGGTTTCGTCAGCAAAATAGTCCAGGTGATAAAGATGCTTCCCAATTGTTACAACTGCTATTAGATTGGAAAGATTCAGAGCCATTATGGGTTGTAAAGCCTCGATTAGATCAGGTTTCAAGAAGATTAAACTCTCTTTTTTGGATGTCGCCTATTCAGAGAGAGTTATATAGCAGATACAATGATGTAGTAATTGTAGATACCACTTATAACACCAATCGATTTCGGATGCTGCTTTGTATTATAGCTGTAATAGATAATAATTTTAGAACTAGAATTGTTGCAAGTGCTATAATCGAAGATGAAATGTTGGATACTTACCAATGGATCTTTGAAAATTTATTTACTGAAACGGGCATTTCACCTAGTGTTATATTTACTGATTTAGATCCTTCTATGATTCGATCAATTATGGATACTTTTTCTAATGCTCAGCATCTTTCATGCATTTTTCATATAGATATGAACCTTCGTAAAAAGCTCAAAGGAAAACTAGGTAGTCAGTTTGAGAAATTTTGTTATAAGTTCTTCATGTGTTGGAATTCTCTCTGCAAAAATCTATTCAAACATCAGTGGAGTCAATTAGTCGATCAATATCCAGTGGCTCTAAAATACTTATCTGAAACACTCTATGTTACTAAAGAATCGTGGGTGATACCTTGGATATACAAACATTTTACAGCTGGTATACAGAGTTCTCAAAGAGTAGAATCAATAAATAAGAATATACATGACAAGGTTGATCGGTCCACATCATAGTGTAATTTATTACTTAATATTAAGGATTATGTAAAGAATGAAGAGCATCTAGAAAAGTTTGAGATTGAATGGAATTCTTTACCTGTAATCGGCATGCCAATGTTAAATTCAAGATTTTTTAGTCAAATAGATATTATTCTTAAGGATTTTTTGACACCTGTAATGCTTGGTAAACAAAGATCACAAATGAACCAATCTGTATGCTGCGATGTTAACCGAGTTACAGAGTGGCAATATTTGGTAAATGTAAGTAAACATTTATAATTTACAATCATATCATACTATTAATTCAGAATCAAATTAATAAAGTAATATTTACAATTTATAGATAGAAGTCGATAATGATGAAATTAGTGCTGGTATTATAGAGCAAGAGCAAGATATGCAGCAAATTCTTTTTTGTTCATTGATTAGAACTGTATCTCAAGAAACAATCATAGAAGTATGGAACGTACGTGCTACTAGGACTCAAGGAATAAGTCATTATATAGTATTGCTTAATGAAGGTGCACATTTATGTACTTGCCTTCTGTTAATTAATAAGAGTTGATATGTCGACACTTTTTCCACATTGGAACTTATTCTCAACATGCTATGTTTCACATAAGCATGATTCCGAATCGATAGTATTCAAATCCCACTATTGAACCAAATAATCTTATACAACAATATCCACCTATTTTAATATGTATTCAAATCCCACTATTGAACCAAATAATCTTATACAACAATATCCACCTATTTTAATATGTGGTACAAGATTAAGTAATACTATGGTATTTGAGAGAAGCGTTAATTTTCAGTATTTTTTTTCGATTCAGAACAATTCATCTGGCTCTCATATCTCAGCAAAATCGAATAAAGCTATATACGCAGAGTTACATGGATTATCAAAGAAACTTATCGATTATGCTATAAAGACTAATTTGGAGCATGAATTATCGAATGCATTTAAGATATTAATTCATGATACTCAAAACAGTAATCAAGAGGAGGAAATTCGCTTATCTAATGTTTTCAATATTTCCAATCCTGCTATTATCAAACATAAAGGCCGACTTCCAAAAAGACTTAAAGCTAGTATCAAAAATGATATATGTAAGAATAAGCGAGTTTTAAAAGATAATGTAAATACTAGCATAATAGGTAATACTAAGAACGTAGCAAATACAATGGGAGGAAATGTAGTAAGTGCAAGCAGTATAGACATTATGCGAAGACTTGCCAATATGCTGATTAATTGTAGAAACATGTGTGTATGCATATAAACTATTTTTGTATTTTCTATATTAGTTATGTATATATGTAAGGTATGTGTATAACAATAACGATAATACAATAAAGATTGGTATTATCTAAAGGAGTATAGTATCAGGTACGAAAGTAGTTGTGTAGTATCAAAATTAATTTGATATATGTATATATGCATCCGGTAACTGCTAGATTGTTATGTATTAGTATGTACATTGTATGTATCTTTTGTTAATGGTTATAGTTAGGGTAACGGTAAGTGTTTGTATATATGAAATATTGGGGTGTGGCCAATCAGTCAATTTACAAACATAGTGCAGATTACATAATGATGATTACTAATAAAGATTTTTTATATTAAAATTTTTTGATCTACAATCTATATCAAATGACTATGAAAAATAACTTTACTTCGCCTTTAATTTCTCTTGGAATATTTAATGTTTTTTAATTTTATAACAACAAGATGTCTAACAGAAGTTATCTTTTCAATATAATAACGTTTGAATTTTATTTTTCTTCTAATTACTATTATACACTATGTATTATAACTAAAGTTCTATTTAACATACAATAATTGACAAACGATTAGGTTATAGCGATTTAAAACCGAATTAAGAACAAGTCAGTGACTACTTTTGTTTCACCAGATAAGAAAACTATTAAGTATTTCTTCTTTAGAAATATTATTACTTTCTAGTTGCTTACTAACTTCTAAATTTTTTGTATCTTGTCAAATATCTCGTAACATGTCTTGAAATATTTCTTGACATTTATTACCTAAACAGATAGTTGAATATGGGATTCTTGTAACTGAGCACTCATATTCAGATGAGCTTTTATGTTGTAGCAATTGAATAACCCTTCCAATTGCTGTTGATGCATTACAATACCCCATATACGAAATTTAACAAATTCATATATTAGAGGAAATTTTACTAGCTCCCACTATTAGAATTTGCAAATGCTTCAAATTCTTTATAAAAATCATACTGATTTAATGCCTCTAACAGTCCAAATGTAGCTGAATGCCCATTAGAGATATCTTCTTTTAGAGCTTGGATATAAGAGGCCTCCTTCGAAGTAGGAGTTGAAGAATTTTTGTTAAAAAATATATTTAAAAAAGCATAAGCAAATTCTGGCCCACTTTCTCCACCTAATCGGCAAATACTTAAGGGTAGATGAATCCAAACCCTATTTACTTAACAAATCCATTTAATGTATTCTCTATCCCAGTTCGTAATGATTCACAAAAATTTTTAAAATCTATTGTATTTAACTCGCATTTAGCATTATCTAATTCATTTTTGAACAAATTATAAATATTTTCTAGATAATATCGAAGCTTTTAAATCCATACTATGATTTTATTCAGCATTTCATGAGCATGATTACCTGGGGGAGAGTATTTATATTGGTGGAATGGTAGATTTGTACAGTTAGGTCGTACTCAGTTAGAAAATCATAAACGGGTTCATAAAACTCTTGACTGAATTTAACAAGGCACCGTATTTGGAGATTAAGTTGCTTATTTGTAAGCCACTTAAAAAATAGTTGCCATTTATATAAGTACAATTTTGAAACATTTTTGGCATTTTTAAGTTGCTCAATAAAAAATTAAGCAAAATTAATATGAACTTCATGTCATTCAAGGTATTGTTTGGCAGTTTTAAGTTTATATAACTACTGTTGACGGATAGGTTGTTGATATTTACTCATTTCAAAATTAAACATTAACTTATAAAGTTTTTTTAACACTTCAGATTTTAGATTCAGTGGACTATTTTTATCTGAAAGATCGTATCTGTCGTGAGGATGAAAAGCCAAATTAAGTAGATTAAAAGGATGTTCTTTTAATGATAATCCTTTAATAGAATCTAACTTTTCAAATGCTGTATTCTCAAAGTTTAATAGGGCGATATGGGTTGCATGTAAACCACAAGAAATTTGAAAAGATCGGGACATTGCTAATGAATTAAATTTAGCAATCGCGCCATTAGTCTCTGAAGACATATAGGCTGTATTATCTGTAAGCCAAAAATAACATTTTTGAGGATCAATACCCTTTTCTTTACATGTTTCGAATACCGTAGTCGAAACTGTTTCAGCATTACAGTGTGCTATATCCATTACTTTTGCTATGGTAATTGCTGGCTTTGCTTTAATGTCATTTCAATATAAAAAACAAATTATTAATACTTTTTTTTCTCCTCGTGTACTTTCATCAGCCATAATCCCATAACTATAAAACCGAGATAAAGCTTCAGGATGGTTTTGATTAAATGACAATGCTGCTATTTCCTTATTCCATTGAGCTAAAGTTTTTGGCACTACCCAATGCTGTGGCGTCTCTCCAGTTAAGAACTAATAGACGGCTTTAGTGCACTCTACAGTTGCACTTATAGAGGTCTGTCTTGTATTGCTAATATCGGTAGCTAA